TGCTTTTGATTAATTACTGAAGACTAATTACTGGAGGCATGTCCTCCAGGGAAAACAGTTTTCAGACGAATTGCTCAAGTGTGAAGATGAAGCAGCTTGAAACGGGGAGACGGCGACAAAAGCTGACCCACTTTTCAAACTTTGAATCTGCAGGGGGCAGAGTGGCAGAAGTTACCCGGTGTTTTCAAACTTACTTTGTTAGTCTGTACTTCCTTCCCGGCTCGGAAAGCTTAGACAACCTCACAGAACCGCGCTGGTTCGGGAGAAATTTTGATGAAAATGCTTATAAGGTACAGGGCTTCCAGCTAAAATGCATCTTTCATTCAAAAAGCAGCCGCGTAGCTAATGCTAGGCTAGCAGGCTAACGAAAGTTAAGCAGCTCATTAGGGCATGTGCTAGCTGACAACAAAGACTCACAGCTTTCAGGTCTAGGACTCCGTCTTTCGCCTCCTGGAGCAGAGTCACAAACTTGGTGGTGAGCAGACCCAGGCTCTTCTCATGCCTGCTGGGAGTCTGCGGCTGCAGCGAGTCCCCGGCAGCTCCCGGGTCCCCTCTATTACTGGCCGACTCCAGCTCCATCATCACTCGGCTCCAGCTCAGCCCGGACTTCCCCTCCCGCTTTCCCCGAACTAAATCCAAGCAGAGAGCCCAGCGGCAGCACACTTTATGACAGAAAGCTCCCGGGATGGTTCGGTAATGTTTACTGGGTTAAAGCGTGGCCTAAACCTCTATATATTACTGAATAAAACCGAACTGAACGGGCAGAGGGCTGTAACTCAATGAGCGGCGGAGAGCCGTTGGCCACGCGAGGTATGACGGGACTGTTCAACCAGTGGAGGGAGCGTCTGCAAATAGTCCCACCCAGGAACCAACGTGTAAAAAACAACAGAAAATATAAAAAACAAAATAAAAAAAACCTTCACTAAATAACATATTTATCGAAAATAAATATTTAAGTGACAAAATTATTTCTAAGTTTCTCTTTTGATAAAAAAGACGAATTTTTCGTCTTCACAGAATATGAGGGTTTATCCCAATCCCTCACTTAGTCAAATGAACGCTGGCGCGCATGCGCACAAGCTAACTTATGTCAAACTGGCGGAACTATTTATAGAATAAGTAATAATTATCTTAGGAACACTTCCACTCTGTATGACAACAAAACACTTTAATAATCGTTATAATATGACAGAGCAACACAAACTATAGTTTATAAATGTGAAAAAAAATCTTTCTCTGACAGATGCATATTTTTTTTTAAACAAGATTTTTTATTCATTAAGTGAAGTTAATCACAATGGATAGAGTAGCCAGACATTTGACAAGAGAAGCTCTATTTTGAAAGAAAATAGAGAAATTCTCTGGCATTTGTCTTCTCCAGCTTGAACATCTATAGACTTTGTTTCTTCACGGTGAAACATCTGTTAACAGAACTTCTGTTAATCAGAATCAGAATTTCTTTATTAATCCCTTGTGGGACGTTCTTTTCTTGAAGTGGAACCGTTTAAGAGAGAAAAATAAGATTATAAGTACAGTAGAGCAAATATATATATATATATATATATATATATATATATATATATATATATATATATATATATATATATAATAACACATGCATGAGCATGCATGGGTTCTCTCTGAGTACTCCGGCTTCCTCTCACAGTCCAAAAACATGACTGTTAGGTTAATTGGCTTCTCTAAATTCCCCTTAGGTGTGAGTGTGTGTGTGAGTGGTTATTTGTCCTGTTTGTCTCTGTGTGGCCCTGCGATGGACTGGTGACCTGTCCAGGGTGTACCCTGCCTCTCGCCCATTGACAGCTGGAGATAGGCACCAGCACCCCGCGACCCCACTTGGGATTAAGCGTGTATAATAAGGATATAAGGATAATAAGACACCTAAAAATATGTAAAATACAACCCATACAGTAAAAATACACCCTGCCCGTATAAACAGTTCAAAATAAGATACAAGAATAAGGTAATAATAAGAATAAATAAGATTGACATTATTGACTGTCAGGGGCGGAGCTAAATGGGGGGCCAGTGGTGGCCGTGGCCAATTATTGCCCACCCCTGTGGCCACCCCTACCATTTTTTTCTCTCAAGTAGAATATTCAATACATTTTAATTTTATATATATTAGTATTACTTGACAACAAAAACACTGTGGTTAATTATGCACATCAATATACCAACATCAGAGATGATTAGTAAAGAATTCATGCTCTTTCAGAACTAGATTTTGTGTTATAAGAGAAAATGATTTGTCTCTGCAAGTCATCTAAGAGTCTTCTGTGAATACTGTGTATAACTATTTAAATAAAAAAACTATAAATTATGAATTTATGTAGATATAAGTATTTGTAAATATCAATCTAATGTAGAATGATATTGATAAAAGTAAGTAAGTAATGACGATGGAAAAGATGTCGCTCCAGAACTCAAACGCATCTATTTGTTAGTAAAGGCTGTAGGAAACTATAGTTTGTATTTATTTAGAAATATGGACGTTCTGTGGTTCTTGTTGGAACAGTGTAGATTGATCCTGAGGTTCTGGTGCCTACCCACTTTTGGCCACCCCTCAGTATACATTGGTTATTGCCTGGCCACCCTTATAAAAATGTTCTGGCTATGCCTCTGATGACTGTGTTACTGCATTGATGAAATAAGTAAACAATAAGTAATGAAATTGAATGACTGTCAGAGAGATGAATTATGTATTATGACCACAGGCAGGAATGACTTCTGGCGCTCTGTGGTGCAACGTGATGAAATGAGTCTCTGACTGGAGGTGCCGTGTGGGTGACCAGCACATCATGAACAGGATGTGCAGGATTGTCCAGCATGGATTTTATCCTGACCAACATTCTTCTGTTTGACACTGCTGATGAGTTTGTTAAGTCTGTCGGCGTCCTTCACCTTCAGTCTACTGTCCCAGCATCCAGCAACATAAAGGATGACACTGGCCACCACAGACTCATCAAACATCCTCAGCATTGTCTGGCAGATGTAGAAGCAGTCAGTCACTGCAGAAAAAGAGACTATGATTAGTTTTTAAACCTTTCCACTACTACTACTTATCAGTTGGTTTTAGGTCTAGACTTCAACTAGGCCCCTCTAAGCAACCAATCTGCTTTGACCTACTCATTCAGGACCGACCCAAGGCACAAGAAAATAAGCAACTGCTTAGGGCCCCAGTGCAAGTAGTAGAGGCCAAGGAACAATTGAGTGTGTGAGTCTTTTTTTTTCTTGTATAATTACATTTATAATTATTTTCCTGCTGAAATTATGTATTTTTTTAAATCAAAATATCATTATTTATGTAGAGTCAATACTTACACATTAGAAAAGAATGTGTATGTTGCGTCTGTTTTGGTACAATTTAATTTACTGTTTTTTTCTTTTATCAAAGCTATTTTATCTGTTTGTTGTGGTTCCTGCACTACAGGCTACATTGCTGTTGCATTTGGAACAAAAAAGTTCAACCAACAAACACTGTTACTGTAAATAAAATGCATACCAAAATGTATCTCATTACTTTCAGTAGCAGTAGATGATGCAGAGAAGACTATCAACAGCACTGTCTGAGATGAAATTAGTTTATAGAAGGTGTGTGAGTGATCAGATCATCAGACAGCTCACAGCAATGGATATCATTAGCAGAAATAGAAGGTCTAAAAATCAAAATTTGCTCAGAGCCCCATTGAGGCTTGGGCCACCCTGCAACCATCCATTGTATTTTTGGGTGGGTGCTGCTGTCAGTGAACCTCCACTAAAGTGACAGGTCATCTACAGCGTCTAATACCATATCCTCCAAGACTGTCCTGGATTTAGCTCCAACCAACTTCCATGATCCTGCATTGGAAATGCAACCCCTTGAGCCATGTTAAAAACAAGGGACATATTTTTTTTAACTGAACTTAAAGTATTTACTCAAAAAGCCACTCACTTAAAAGTAACTGGTAATTGGTGAAAATATTGGTGGTGTTTAACTTTGAGTGTAATGTCTGATTCTGTTTTGGTTTCTTTTTATTTTGAGGCCTAATCAGACATATAAACTTTTTAATACTTTTTATAAAATAAGTGAGCAGTTGTGATACATTTAATATTTTTCTATTTTCATCCAAATATTCAGATCAAAATTATGATTCTTCTGGTAAAAAAAAAAAAAAAAAAAATTCCCCAGTCAGCAATATAGATCTCTTAGTTTGTAAATAAGAATCTTAGAAAATAAACGAAGATTAGCTAAAAATAAATAAATGGACAGTTGTGTAAAACCAGTGTTTTTTGGGGAAAAAATGTTTTACAAAAAGCAAAGTTCAAATAGATAATTTATTTGGGAGAAACAAGTTAGGGTATAAGAAACAGAAACCCACCAATCTATGTTTATCCACTGCAAACTATTTTCACTAAGATACTCTGTAAATAGTTTATTCACCTGTACAACAAGTGCTACAGGATTAGGGCCACTGAAAAAAAAAAAAAAAGTTAACTGATTTTTATTTTTTTCAATTTAATATGGGAAAAAATGTCAGAATTCTGACTTTAATCTAAAATTCTAGAAATAGAATTCTAAGTCTTTTCCCATATTAAACTGAAATAAAATGTAAAAATCAGTTCACTTTTTATTTACTTTTTAGTGGCCCTAATCCTCTTCCGTAAATATCTTCTGTAAATATTTTTTTTTAAAAACAGTTACCGGTAACTTTTTCATTTTTTTATTTTTTCAGTGGTCCTAATCATCTTCCGTATAAAAGCAATAACTGTTGAAAACATATAATATTTTTTCCATTATTAATTTGTTGAGGAAGGATTCATTTCATGGGCTGGCGACCTGTCCAGGTCGCCGCCTCTCGCCTTGCGACCCCACTCGGGATGGATGGATTCATTTCATAGCTAGCACCAGCAGGGGGCAGCAGTCCACAAAATAAGCTGCTTTGGTAAATTTTCTTTTAAACTTAGTGCACCTTAAAAAATTAGTTACAAAAAAGTTTTGACAGTTTTATACAAATTAATTTAATTCAAACAAACAATAGGGAAATATGGACGAACGAAATGTATGTGACGAAAGTGCTTCTGCCATCTTAAGGTAGTCAGCTGATCCGTATGAGCTGTAGGGTCTCTGTCCCTCTAACCGGAAATAACGTCGCTGTATTCATTCATTCTCAGGTAAGCGCACCTGTTAGATCCTAATGTCTTTTTATTTTAATGCACACGTTTAGAGCAGCAAACATAGCCTGTCTCTCCTTCAAAATGTGCCTTTACTTTACAGCTAGCTTAAATGCTAGCTAAACAACTCAACATTAGCATCAAGATTAGCTTCAAGATATTAAAGGGATCTATTGTTGTTCAGTGGAGGTTCTGCTCTATGGGGGGACCACTGTGTAAAGGTGTCGCTTAGACGTAAACCTGTGCTATGAAATCTGATTTAAAAGCTCGTATTTCAGATGACAGGACTGCTAAAACTAATGAAATCGTTTTCATTTGTTTTTAAAGCTTTAAAGTCATGAAGAAAAGCAAATGTAAAACAAACGGGGTCGCCGAGAAGGAGTTTGTGTTTGAATTCAAAGCAGGAAAGAACAAATGTGTCCTCAAAGTGCCCCTTCAGTTTCCTGTCCAGCTGAACATCAGTGATCTGCACGGAAGGTTGCTGCTTCTGCATAGGATACCCTGCTACATAGAAGATGGTGAGTCTGTAGCTTTACAGGGAAATTACTCACTTATCCTTTGTTATGGTTCAGAATTAAACTTAATCTGACAGATCAGCTGATTTAATGCTGATCTTAACACTCCAGTATATATTCAGTCATTATTGCTGTTTAGCAACAACATTTCTCTCCACTTGCAGAGTTGAAGGCCTCTCTGTCTAGATTCATAGAGAAGGAGACAACCCTGGACTATGACAGGGAGGCAGAGCTAGCCCTGCAGAGGCTTTCCACTGGAGATGTGGATGTAAACCAGCTTACCAGTGCCTGGGCCCGATCTTATACAGAGGTAGGAACCCATTCCCCCCCTTTGTGTCAATCATCTTTCCTTATTTTATGAAAGTGTGCAATATAAACCATCATCTGTGAGCATCTAGACAGATTACCGATGTAAATTTTTAATGTACATTTTAAAACAGCTGGAAAAGTGAAACACATGAATAGATTGGATCACCTCTGTGTTGCATAATCACACGGATCAAACAGGCAAATTGGTCCTGGTTCTGAAGAGTCTGGAAAAAAAAGGTTTCAGTCCTTTGCATCAACCAGGACTTAGCTAGCGACTGTAGCATTACAGCCTCATTAAAGGGGACCAGCTAGCCTGTGAAATTCTAATTTAGATTTGGTTGCAAAGTGATGACAATGTTATGGTTTATTGCAGTCACTTAAGGGACATTCAATATTCATATTTGAAAGGCCTACTTATAGATTATATTTCAGGAATGACAAACCAAAGAAAAAAGTTAACTTTCTTCTCAGATGGTAGCTTTACACTCTAAGCGGATGGTCTGTGTGGTGTAAAGGAAAAATAAAATGGATAAAGAAGGTAATATGAGAGTCTCTGTGTGGCCTGCCCTAATGCTGTCATTCCAATACTGTTTTGTGCATTATTCTCTGCTATTATTATATGATTCCTTCACTTAATACCATATTACCAAAACATCAAAAAAAAAAACTTAACAGCTGTTTTTTTAACAAATCACTGGTTTTGCACTTTTAAAACTTATGAAAGAGGTTCTACCCCCTTTAGCCAATAGGACGTAGCTTCCCCTGATCTATATGAGTAGGATGGAGTAGACATCTACAGAGCCAACCTCTTTGCACATTCTGCAGTGTCCCAGTCTCTTCGATGCTCTCTTCTACTCAGATACCACTGTTTCCCTTGAGGTTAAGGTCTGAGGACTGAAGCAGGCTTAAAAAAAATATGATTCTGTGTCTGCTGAAGAATTTCTGTGTTGATATGACCACATGTTTTAGATTATTAACACATTTTACTGGTTCCCAATGACTTTTGGAAGTAAAGCCAGCCCACAGCATCACAGGCCTCCACCATGGTTCATGTTGCTTTTCAGGGATCATTTCTCAGTGGCGGCCTAGTGGTTAGGGCACAGGGCTTGGAATCCCACAGACTGCCATTCTGGCTCTCTAAGCAAAGACCCTCAACCTCTGATTGCTCCCCGGGTGCTGCACAGTGGCACCCCACAGCTCCATAAAAGGGGATGGGTTAAATGCAGAGAGTTAATTTCTCCATTGTGATATCAATAAAGTTGAATTTATTTATTTATTTATTTTATTCCTGAGAGATTCTCCCTTTTTATATACCAGACCTACCCAGGTGTTTGAAAGTTTTAATAAGTAACATGAACTCTGCCTGTTTTCATTTGTGATAGTAGGAAGGTGATGCTGCACAGTCAGAATCTGATGACTTCAGGGTGCTTCTGTTTGCTGCAGGGAGCTGTAGGATAGTTTGACCTTCCTCACTATCGTCTCTCCTGGATAAACATCAGTCTTCATCCCCTTGAGTTTTATCATTTTTAAACCTGTTACCATGGTAATGGGCATATCAGATAGTAGCCATTTTCTCACAAAACGCGAGTGAGACACATTTGCTTTGCTTGAAGGTCATGTTCTCTTATCGTTTCTGAGGACTGGCTTTGAGCGACAGGCCTCTGCATTGCACATATTTATCTCCAGAGGAACAGGAAATGATGGATTTACAGACTAATAGTCACTTCATTCTCTGATCTACTTAAAAAAATTTAATTTAAAACCTGTTTATTTTAAAGTGGTATTTTTATTCCCAGTCTGCTGTTATTAAATGTTAAATCCAAATTAAAGGACATGGTTGAATTTTCTGTCAGAGAAGCTGCGGCTGCAGTAATAGATACTTTTGATGCTGTCATTTTCCATGGAGGCTCCAGATATTTCCCAGTTATATGGATGACTTGTTTAATATCAACAAATCCAAAAACATGGTGCCTCTAACCATGATCATTTGATACAGAGGTCTTCAACTCCAGCCCTCGAGTTCCAGAGTCCAACACGCCTGAATCACCTCAGTATGCAGTCAGGTTTAGAGATGCAGCAATCCAGTATTAATCTCTTTACCGGTCCTGATATGGAAGAAAATTCTAGATCTGGGGCCTGTTTCAATAAGGAAGTTCAACCAACTCTGAGTTAAAACTTGAACTCTGAGTTGACTTATCCTGAGAT